TCCAAAAGAATTGAAAGCAGGGACTGACGCAAACACAGACTTGTGTACCAGTGTTCATAGCAGTACTATTCACAATAACAAAAAGGGGAAATCAACCCAAATGCCCACCAACAGATGAATGGCTAAACAAATGTGGTATCCATACAATGGAATATGATTCAGCCATTAGAGGAATAAAGTTCTGATGCCTGCTCCAACATGGGCGGGCCTTGAAAACATACTAAGTGAAATAGGCCAGACACAAAAGGACAAAATTGTATGATTCCACTGACATGAAGTACCCCAAATAGGCAAATTCATAGAGACAGAAAGCATATTAGAGGTTACAAGGAACTGGGGGAAGGGGGAGTGGGAGTTATTTAATGGGTACAGAATTTCTGTTTGGGATGATGAAAATGTTGTAGAAATGGATAGTGTGACTACTGCATGGCATCCTAAATGAACTTAATGCCACTGAATTTCACACTTAAAAAGAGTTAAAATAGCAAATTTTATGTTATGCACATTTGATCACAATAAAACAATTTTATGATGTGCATAGGGTGATAAGCACATACCTGATCCATAACAGGCTGTGCTCAGTGAATGTAGCTATTGTTTCCATGTGTCTGGTCCAACCCTCTCCTTTTTCAAAGAAGCTCCCTCACTCTGTAAGGCAGAGAACTTTGAATTTGTGAGTTTGTCTGCCCTGACACCCTTCTTCACATTCTGGGTCAGTCCTCAGCAGGAGGTCTTCCTTCCCTTGCCACCTGCCCTCTTGGTTTCTCTAAGGCTACTCCACTAGGCTGTAGGGCTGCAGTAATCTCAGAGTGAAATTATTGTAGAGGAAAGGAAAGGCTAAAGATCAAGGTAACTTAACCTTTCTTGGAGTCTCCAGTGGAAAGAACCCCAAACTGGCTGGGCCATGGTAGCTCATACCTGTAATCCCAGCACTTTGGGAGGCTGAGGCAGGTGGATTGCTTGAGGCCAGGAGTTTGAGATCAGCCTGGGCAACATAGCAAGACCCTCATCTCTACTTAAAAAAGATAAAAGAACCCCAACCTGAGGTCCTCCACAAGAGGTATGGCTGGACTAGCATGGGTCGCTCTTGCATTCCGCTCATAATAGGGAGACCCACTGATAAAAGGTATGAAAAACAGGATGGACCACATCTGGCCTGTCTCCACTGTATACCACCGTATACCACTGTATACACTGTATCTCTCAGTTTTTGGCTCTCAAATGATCTTCCCTAAGGGCTTCCTTCTTCAAGTCTCTGAGTCTCTCCCCATCACTGGCTGCCTTTGCATTACAGGACCTCCAGTCAGAGTCATTCTCTCTGGAATAGTGTCCCAGGGGTAAGTGCTATCTGCTGCCACCCAAGTCTCACAGAATAGCTGGATCCCTTGGACAGGAGTGGACCTGGATCCTCTGGTCTAGTTTCTTGTCCTATAAGCTTCAGTGAGAGCTTTGGGGAGGGAGGTTCCTTTAAGGGGCTGACCTGTTAGATTAAGCACAGGCTTGTCAATGACAAATATTACATTTCAGGTTCAGCACAGTTTAAATACATAGAAAAAGAAAATACTTCCCTAAATAGCAGGGCATCTCCTCCCTACTCCAGAGTCGAACCCTGAGCAACTTTGTAGCTTATTTTCTGCTCTTCTAGAGGATCTACCTGGAAGATAAAGGTCACCCATTAGTGGCAGCAGGAAGGGCTCCAGATTCAATCGTATTTGTTGTTTATTTCTGAAAACTCCCTGGGATGAGATACATACAGTTGCCAGTTTCTTCTTCCACTATTATTATTGTTATCACAAATCAGTTTATTCAGTTTATTCAGGAAAAGGACAGTTTATTCAGTAAGTGGTATTGACACAATTAGGCAATTATTTGAGGAAAAAAATACCTCGATCCTTGCCTTATACCTAACACTCTAAACTCAGTTCCAAATGGATAAAAGATTTGAGTTTTAAAAGAAAGAGAGGAACTGTATGAACTAAAAGATGGAACTTTAAGCTCCTAAGAGGCATGCAACCAGCAGTTGATAGCCTCTATCTAGTTCTCATTAAAATATCCACAAATATGCACACACAGAAAAAAAGACAAAAACTATTATACCAAAAGAAAATGCTGATGAGAAAATGTCAAAATATACTAGAAATCAAATCTGATTTTATGGCAGGTACAGCTGGACCAGTGTGGGTAGCTCTTGCCTTGATCTCACAATAGGGAGACCCACCGATAACAAGGCATGAAGAAGCTTCAGCCATCTCTCACCACCTTTCTCTTAACCAGAGACCCCAGGACCCAGAAAATGAGGCAAATGGCTCTCTAGAGCAGTGGAGAACTTCAGAGATATATCAATCTCCAGACAGCACCCCAGACTAATTAAATCAGAATATTCAGTGGACGTACTCACGCAGTGGTGTTTTCAATGTGTAGCCAGATTGATAACAAGTCCTCTGCAAAATAGCTCAGATGCTATTCTATTCTATAGGGCAGGTGGGGAGATGAGATTCTGTCCTCCCCCATTTTGGCCACCTGTCATCTTTTATGATATTCTCTGCTTCCTTACCATTTGGGATGCTTCTCTCTGTGGTTTTTTCTCCTATCATTTTGATTACACTTCTTCAGTTTTCAACAGTACCTACCTACTTCTTTCTGGCTCCTAAATATTGGTCTTCTCAGAGCTTGGTCTCTTGAAATCTTCTCTTGAATTGAAAATCTCATCTAGTTCCAAGACTTGAGCAGACACATATGAGCTGAAGACTTCCATCCTATGAGATAGGGTGGGCATTTCCTCCTCCATAATCCTCCTCCAGGAGTGTGTACCCACTCCACTGATGGAGACGTTCCCAACCCACGCCAGGATAAATGGAGGAGGTCTTGATGAAGTAGGCAAAAGAAAATGACTTTTTAAAAAAATATATAATAGCACAAGGGTTATGTCAAGAAGTAGTCTTCTAGAAGCTCCACCCAGCCTGGACCATTCATCCTCTTCTCCAATAGTTAGAACATGATAATAGACCAGAGGGCAAGAGAAAGAAGTTAGACCCAGGACAGGCAAGGAGAAATAGGACAGTAGGACAATAAAGAGGAGGTCTTTCTACTGCCCATTGAACATGGACTTGAACAAGCTAATAGGGAGATGGAAAATGACAAGGAAAAAGCTATTTGGGGCTAGCTCTAGATTTTATATATTTCTAACTATCTTATGGTAAAACTTCCAATGGTGAAGTGTATTGTTTTCACAAATAACAACATCTGCATTTCCAGCTCAGATCTCTCTACCAAGCCTGTAACTCCCTCCTATTGACTCAAAGGTGATAGGCACCTCAAATGTAATATCTAAAGCAAATCCCTCCTTCTCTTCCTCCCCTTAACCTGTTCCTCTCTTGTACACATCTCTGTGAATGGAATTGTCATCCTTCCACCTGGTATGGGTTAAATTGTGTCCACCCCCCCCCCCAACATTTATATATTGAAGTCCTAATCCTCATACCTCAGAATGTGACCTTATTTGGATATAGGGTCATTGCAAATGTAATTAGTTAAATTAAGATGAGGTCATTAGATTGGGCTCCAATCCAATGTAACTGGTATCCTTATAAAAATGGGAAATCTGGACACAGAGACACACACACAAAGAGAACATCATGTGAAGATGAAGGCAGAGATCTGGTGATTCCTTTACAAGCCAAGGAACACCAAAGGTTGCCAGCAAACCACCAGAGGCTAGGTGAGGGGCATGAAATAGATTCTCTCTCGTAGCCCCCAGAAGGAACCAACCCTGCTGACACCTTGATCTTGGACTTCTAACCTCCAGAACTGTGAGACGATAAATGTCTCAGTTTGTGGTCCTTTGTTATGGCAGCCCCTGAAAACTAATACACTATCCAGAGAAGATTTGTCTCCATGCCCCCTCACCCCCCACATCCAGTGACTAGATCCTGTTAACCTCCAGAACATCTCCTAGGTTCAGCCTCTACTCAGTTTCCATTGCCTCTATGGGCATATTGGGTAATCTATAAGCACCATGGTAGAAGGTAGGAGGGGACTTAGTTGACCAAATGGAGCAAGAGATAGGTCAAAGCTGGCATGGCAGAGAGAAGGTCTGGGACTTGAAAGGGATTTGGAAGTGGTGGGGCTGGCAGGCAGAGGGTGAGGTACCCCTAGCTGTGGGTGAGATGACACTGACTGACCGCTTGTTTGGAAAATGCTGAGACCGCAGAGGCTGCATTGAATGTCAAAAGGGTGGGGCTGGCTAGAGGCCAGGGCTCCCCAGGGCTCTGTCCCCACCAAAGCTGGCTTTGGGACTGGGCTTGCACCTAGGCTGTGCATCGGGGGCTGAGCAGAGATCTTGGGGAGACCTCTGCTACTGGGTTGTCCCAAGGCACGGCCACGGGGTGCACATCAGAGGCACCGGCTTTGGGAGGCTGCTGAGGGTGTTGCTTTGAACAACTGCAAACCAAACCGGCAGGTTTGCCCATGAGTGCCACAGCCACGGTCCAGTCCAAGATGTGTGAGCTGAGCGGCACTTGGCATTCCCGGGCCCCAGTTCCAGCTCTGCCGGGAAATGGGGGACTTCGCCGTGGCTCTTGGAAATGGATTCTAAACTTCAGCATCAAGCCATGAAAGGATCTGGAATAAGACACATCGTTGGGCTCCCAGAAGGACTCTGAGCAGCCGTGCCTGCCTTTCTCTTCAGTCCCCTCCCTTCCCCCAGTCTCCCCTCCCCATCGCTCCTTCCCTCCCTCCTGCTGCTCCTCCCCTTCCTCCACACTCCTTTCTCTCACCCTGTTCATCCCCCATTGCCACTGTCACCTCCTTCCTCCATTCTTTCCTCCCCCTTCAGACCCTCTCTGTTTTCGGACCTTTCCTTCTCTTACTTCCCCATCTCCCTACCTTCTCCTTCCCCTTCCCCTCCTTCTCCTTCTCCTTCTCCTCCCTTCTTCTTTCCCCCTCCTCACTGCAGCTCCCCCTTTCCACCCTCCTCTCTCCCATCACCTTCCCGTGCCTGCCCCACCTGGCAGTGTTTGCTCTCCTCCCTCCCGGATCCCGGATGAAAGGGCTGCCCTGCCCGTGCCCTGCCCTGCCCCATTTCTGGCAGCTGGGGCCTGGCTTCATGGCTGAGGGCTCCAGGACACGGACCCGGGGCAAAGGGCCCCCTCTTAGCGTCCAGCTCCTGCGAGCCCAGTATGAAGGCCTGAGGAGGCAGCAGAGGGCCCAGGCCCACCTTGTGGTGCTCCCGAAAGGTAGGGCTGGGCAGGAGCCGGGCTGGCTGTGGGAGGAACGGGTGGCTGGGCTAAGGGAGTCCTGTCCGGGGCAGCTCCGCCAGCTGTGGCCCCTGCCAAGTGAGCCAGGGCCTCAGGCTGGGCATGTGGCTGCCAGGACCGCTCCTGGCCTCTGCTCTGATGTTCTGATCTTGCCAGACTAGTCGGCCTGGCCCCCCTGAGGCCAGGTGGGGTGCTGGAACTCTGCCTCCTGTCTGGTCTAGCCGGGCACCTCCTGCAAACCAGGGAAACAGGGTCTGGAGAACAAAGACGTGGCCTTCCCCACAGCCTGGGGACTGGCTGGGCCAGAGAAAGCCCAGGGCTCATCTAGCCTCAAACAGCAGCCCCTTCCTCATGGGGGAAAAGCCTCCTCCCTTTGGGAACTCAGATTTCATCCCAGGGGGAGTCAGAAACACAGGGCTCAGAAAGCAAGTAGTTGTCAAATCCCAGCCCTGCATCCTCTAATAGGCCTGGGGGTGGGGGGGAAGACGCCTTGAAAGGTCACAGCTGGGCCCGGAGGGTTTCCATGGCTGTTTGCACAGCTCAGTGGACTCACTGAGTGGGCTTCCCCTCACCAGGCCGGGCTGGAAAGGAACCAGGGCCCAGAGGGACCTCACTGTCTAGGGCGGGAAACGTGGTGCCTTTTGGGGACAAAAGTGGCACCCCAGAGCTGACGGAGCCCTTCTTACCTGGGCTGCTGCCAGCAGTGGGATTTGTTTGAGCTTCCCTGGCACAGCCAAGTAACCCCCATCTCCACAGGGCGTAAGCTTAAAGGTTCCTAAAGCTCTGTCCCACCCTCAAGGGTAGTTATTCATTCAGACATTCAGCAAACAGGTAGTAAATTAAACCCCTATCAAATGAAAATGCCACGTTTAACACACCTGTGATTCAGACTCTCAAATCTGATTGCTTAATGGCAGGATCCAAAGACATCTCGAACTCAGCATGTCCCATAGAATTCCCCTCGCCCTGTGCTGGCCCTTTCTCCTGCACTTGGTGACTCAGTGCTCCCTCTTCTGTCACTGCCATGTGGTAAGTTATGGCAGGTTAACCAAAGGAGCTCTCAGGCATGGCTGTCTCAGGGAAGACTTCTGACACCATGGCTAGGCTAGTACATGTGAATCCACACGTGTGTGAGTGTGTGTGTGTGTGTGTGTGTGTGTGAGTGTGCGAGTGCCCTGGCCGTTTGGCCCTCCTTTGCCCTCAAATGCTAGGAACTACCTCCTCCCAGAGTTCACTGCCTCACTTCAGTTTTTTTGTTTTGTTTCATTCTCTATCCATGTGATTACTTCAGTTTTCAATCCTCTATTATACTTGAGTGTTTCCATTGCATTGGTTACCACATCAAATGTTATTATTTTATTATAATATGCTCATTTGCTTATTGTCTTTCTATTCTGATACGACACATATAATAATAGAATAAATAATGCCTGGCACATATCAAGTGCTCAATAAATATTTGTTAAATGAATGAATAATTGTGCACGTGTGTATGGGGGAGAGTGCATGTGTGTGTGAGCGTGCGAGTGAAACTACATGTGCATCCATGTGTGTACAGGCATGCAGCATTCTGGACGCCCGGCCTCCCTGGCATTCTGGGTATGGCCTTCCTTCAGCATAAAAGCTCCGAGACCCCCCAAATGAGAGCTGCCTGTGTCCCCTCCAGTGAAGACTACTTGTGCCTTCTCTTCTCAGGAGGGAACATGCCTGCTTCTACTGAACCCGTGGTCAGTGCTGTTTGGATTAACAAAGAGAGAAGGCGCTCCCTGTCCCTGGAGGAGGCAGCTCCGGAGGCAGAGGGGACGGTGGAGGAGGGTGACCAACACTGTCTTCAGGCCCCTGAGTCTCCGTGGCACACACACCTAGAGATGCACTGTTTGGTCCAGACCTCGCCCCAGGGAACCAGTCATCAAGGGAAGCACAGGGGCAAGCTGGTGGCATCTGACCAAAGGCTCCCCCTGGAAGGAGACACACATTTGTTTGGAAACAACTGCATAAATCAGCAAGGAACCACAATCCCAGAGGCAGCCCAGCATCAATGTCAGGTGGGCAATACTCAAACAAAGGCAGTGGGATCCGGCTTAAAATTCAGCATTCCCGGTCCTCCCTCCATAAGGCAGCCACACAGGTCTGGCAAATCAGCTCACTATCCATTTCCCCAGCGGAAAACTCCCAGGATCTCCCAAGCTGCCCGGAACCTGGGCTTATATGGCCCAGCATGAAGCTTTCTACCCAGCCAGGTGTCTTGGCCTTGAGGGCCTCATCAAAGAACAGAGGAGGCAGAGCCAGAACTAGAGCCTCCAGCTATGAGCAAGAACTGGACTAACTCATTGCAGGAACTGTGAGAAATGAACTTCACAGTGGAAACATGGTCTTGCCCTTCAAAAAAAAAAAGAGATTGCCCAGGCCAGGTTGCTCACAGTTCAGGGTGAAAGTGTACTATCTGATCAGTGCAACCCCATTCTGCTGATACGAGAAGAGGACATTGCAGTGGAGCTTTGGATGAACATTCCTTGGGGAGGCCCAGCAGGACTTCTACTCTGCCCCTGGAATTGGAGAATTTTGAGACATAAAGCAGAGACTCTAGTGGATGCAATGCCTTAGCAATGCCCATGGGTCAATGGGCATGGGTGATCTTGTATTCAGTATCTTCTGATGATGTCTCACATATTCTGGAGGAGATGAGCTCTGAGAATTCAGAACGTTGTTCTTGTTGCTGTGCCGGGGGCCATCCCACTTAAAAGCCACTACATGTATTGGTAGTAACCACACAAGTTCAGCTTGAGCTCCCCAAAGTATGGCCACCCTGAGTAAAGAGGGTCAGATCAATGCCACCTACCATATCGTGTCTTTAAGAGGTCTTTAGGAAGAGTTGATCATCTGTCACCTCTCACTAAGACTGCACCTTCTAGCCTCATCACAGATTTCCTCCCTCCCTCCCTTCCTTCCTTTTACCTTTCTTCCTTCTCCTTCTCTCTCCAAATTAACTTCTTATTAAAAACTCCCAGTTCTGATGCGTTGGGAGTGATGAATAAAATAAGAAATAAAATCCTTCCAATCACTGAAGATATATAGTGATGGGAGCCTGAGCAAAAAGAGACAAATATTCCTGCTTGGAAAATACATATTCCCCACCAACCGCCCCCTTTTCAGCCTATCTTGAATCACTCAGATCCTTCCTGGGATCAAATATACATTTCTAAATCCAAGACAAAGTGAAGCAGGTGTTACTTGGGAGATAGGGAAGAAAGAATTGTCTCTCTTGGTTCATGTTTAACTTTAGTGCTGATACACTAAAGTTAAACACACCTAAGGCCCCTTCTATCAGATTCCCTCTCTATGAAGTTCCACCCACATTTTTCTTTTTTCCCCACAGTGATCTAGTCTTGCCCATCCACATCCAGAGTTGTAAACTAGGAGTGTCATTCCCTGTCAAAACTGTATAGGTGCTTGCTCCTTGGACCACCCAGAAATTCACTCCAATGTGAGATTTCACTGTGATTCCTCTTGCAAATAATTAATAAGATTTGGTTGTTGTTTTTTTAATACTCTAATGAAAATCAAGAAATTTTTTGCAAAAATCTTTGTCCTTTGCATTTGTTTAAAGAAGATTCCCAGAAGTAACCTTTCTTTCCACAGTCTAATCTTTTTCTCTTCGTTGTTTCAAAGGCTACTGCAGGTCTGGCAACAGGTGCCAGGCACCTGTATCCTGCATACGAAGTGACGGAGAATGCATGGGCCGTGGAGTTAGCAGACCTGGGCTTCAGGTCTGATTGAGGCCAAGTTACTTAATCTGGGCTTTGATTTCATCATCTGTGAAATGAAATAGATAATGCGCCCTTTTGAAAGGATTGGAAATGATATGTGTAAGTTCCTGGCACTCTCAGTAATGGGCAGCAATCATTATTTTTAAAAGTTCATTACCTCTCCCCCTTCACCTGTCACTCAGCCATTGGCCCCTTACAACCTGCTTCTACGCCCACGAAGATTGAAGATCACTAACCACCTCCTCCTCTCCAAATTCAATGGCTTTTTCTGGTCTTCCCTCTCTTTTCTCCCTCCAGCATTCATGACTGCTACCATGGACGCCCTGTGCCTTCTTCTCCCACTCCTTGTTGAGTTTTGGGATCTCTCAGTCTATGAGCTCCTTTAAGTCAAGGGGTTTGTCTGATGTGTCTTATTGCCCCAGCAGTTAGACTAAGTGGGCACATAGAATGCTCCGTAAATGCTGATCAAGTGAATGAGTTAGAAAATGAGTGCCCCATCCCTTTCTTTTACTCCCACCCAGCAGCCTAAGTCTGCCCTCTCCCCTTTATTTATAGACTTTTCCAGGTCCAGATTTGGACTTCTTATTTTTCCTCTAATGTATTCTCTCTTAGGAAACACAGAAAAGCAGAACCATGAGTTGAGGTAAGAACCTGCCAGGCAGAGGGCACGAGATGTACAACGACTCTGACAAACAAAAGATCCTGGTGTGTTTCAAGGGTTGGAAGAAGGCCAGTGGGATTCAAACACAGTCTCCAAGGGAGACCAGCAGATGCTAAGGCCGTGCATCCATCTTTATAGGCTATGGTTTGCTCCAGTAAGAAATAACCCCCAAATCTCACAACAGAAGCTTATTTTTCACTTATAAAAAGTCCATTGTGGAACTGGGAAAATTTCCAGGGCAGCAATTCAGCTTCCTCATCTTATCCACAATCTCACGGCACCACCATATCGATACTTGTTTCTGAGTCGCAGGAGAAGAGAGTGCGTTAATAGTCACATACTTGCTCTCAGATCACTTTTGCTCTCCCTGTTTGATTGTCCAAAGCCAGTCACACGGTCACAGAGTGTGACTTTATACTGAGAGTGTGACGTCATGGCTTCTTCAAGGGTATGAAGAAGTACAATCGTGCCATGTGCCCGTACAGCTGCGTGGCATCACTGGCTAGCACAGGCAGGCAGGCCAGGTTACAGAGGGCATTGCACAATATTCCATGTCATTCTGAATACAGTGAGCAGCCATGGAGGGGCTTACATAGGAGACAAAAGTGATTTGATTTGCAGTTTAATCAAATGACCCTAATTGTTTCATAGAGGATGAGTTGAGGTCAAGTTAGGAGGCAATGTCAGGAAAGCAGTGGCCAGGGCAAGTTCAGTGGGAGAGTCGCTGTTAGCTCAAGCAAGGGTGGGAACAGAAGAGATGGAGAGAAAAGGGATACATTTGACATATATTTTGCAGTTAGAATTACTAGGATTTGTTGACGGAAAACTGTAAGTTCAGTTTGAAGGATATTGAGTTTCAGATGCCTGTGAGATACAAATGAAAACATCTAGCAGGTGAGTGGGTATATGAGACTCTAGGTTTGGGGCTAAGGGTGTAAACTTAGGGGCCATCGGTATGTGGAGGCACTTAAACGAATGAGAAAGGGTAAGTTCACCTATGCAGGCCACAGAGAGAAGACAGGGTCCAGAACGAGTCCTGAAAACTCCCTATATACTTAGGAGAAAAATCCCAAAGGATTTTTTTAATCCTTTGTTAGATAAGGCGGGGCTGGGGGAGGAGGAGCCAGGGAAGGGCGCGGAGAAGGAGTGACTGAAGGGAGAGGAGAGCCAGGAGCGAGTGAGGTCACAGACAGAACTCAAGGGGCAAGAGTTAGTGGGAGACACTGTGCAGGTCACTCCCCTAATTGAAATTCTTCAGCCTGGAGTTGCTTTTTCTTGCGCATGGCTTTAAGAGGCTAGAGTCTAAGGGGCAATGCTGATTGTGTGCAAACTCTTCACCCAGGGGCAGGCAAAGTCAGAGTCAGCACATGCAGGTCACATCTGACTGAAGTCACCAAGGCTGGCTTGCGTCACCTTTGCCCTAAAGACCTGGCCTTCCCCTCAGGACTGGGTCACCCCCCAGCCGTGAAGGGGCTAAGGATTGAGAGTTTGTTTCCTGGGCTTGGAGGAAAAGGCAGGGGAGAGGTGGAGCTTTGAAACCTCTCACTCCCGTCCCACAAGGCTACTCCTGCCAAGAGCCTTAGACTTGAACTGTCTCTTTCTCAATCATGCGCTTGTCCTCCTACCAACTGCGGGCTGTGGAACTTGCCCGGGGCAAAGGGCTCAGGTTATTGCCAAGGCTGTCACCCCACCCAGACTCTGATTTTCTTTCCTGTGCTGGTCAGGACTGGGGCTAACCTCTTTCCACACCCTACACAGTGTTAGCAGAAGAAGGTTTTCTCAAGGTCTGTAAGTCCTGCGTGGGGCAGGTCGCCTTTACCTGGGTCCCCAGCCTCCTGGCTCCCAGGGAGGACCCCCCTGGCAGATGCGTCAGTCTCCAGTTTCAGCACCACCATGGGTGGATGGTGACCCTGGCAGAGTCACTTACCTCTCAGAGCCACAGATTCCCCAGTTGTAACTGCAGGGACTGGTACCACCCTCACCACCCTCCCCCAGGTTGCAGGGGGAGCATGGGCAGAGTGGTAAGGAGGGGAAAGAAAGATGTTCCCCTTACTCTAGGAACAGAAAAGAGTGCCGGGCTTGGTGGCTCACGCCTGTAATTCTAGCTCTCTGGGAGGCTGAGGAGGGCGGATTGCTCAAGGTCAGGAGTTTGAAACCAGCCTGAGCAAGAGCGAGGCCCTGTCCCTACTATAAATAGAAAGAAATTAATTGGCCAACTAATATATATAGAAAAAATTAGCCGGGCATGGTGGTGCATGCCTGTAGTCCCAGCTACTCGGGAGGCTGAGGCAGTAGGATTGCTTGAGCCCAGGAGTTTGAGGTTGCTGTGAGCTAGGCTGATGTGTCAGTTAGAGTTTAATTACAGGTACAGCAAGACTCTGTCTCCAAAAAAAAAAAAAAAAAAAAGATCTTTTCCAAGAACTGCTACCAACTTGGCTCAGACCAAGGGCTTCTTCCCTGCTGGGGGGGCTCCCCTCATTCTCAGATTCCCCAGCTTTTGGGCACTCCCTGTCATTAAAGTCATTTACTCCAGTTCTTAAGACTCAGAACTACTTGAATTTAAAACACCATGGAGAGAGGAAGAGGGTATGGCCTTCACACAAACGTTGAATGTCCCCAAGAGGCAGCCTCCTCCCAGCCTCCTGTCACTGAGGGGAAAAGACCGTGTCCAATCTGTCAAAATGATGCGTGTCTCTCAGCAGGCTCTAAGGCCGTGGTTCTCGAACTTTGGCATACATCAGAGTCACCTGGAAGGCTTGTTAAAACACTGATTGCTGGACCCTAGCCCAAAGTTTCTGATTCAGTGGAGGGGTAGAGGTTAGCATTTCTGTTTTTTAGAGATAGGATCTCGCTCTGTCGCCCAGGCTGGAGTGTAGTGGTGTCATCCTAGCTCACTGCAGCCTCGAACTCCTGGGCTCAAGTGATCCTCCTGCCTCAGCCTCCCAAGTAGCTGGGACCACAGGCATGCGCCACCACGCCCGGCTGAGAAGTTACATTTCTGACCTTTTCCCAGATGATGACGCTAGTCTGGGAACCACACTTTGAGAACCACTGCTCTTGGGGATGTGGCTGACATAAAAAAACCTGGCAATTCTTAGAATGTGGGGGTCTTTGGTGACTCTTGTTTCCAGCTGTGGATTATAGACATCGTTTGGGGGAAGAGTGGGAAGAGGCTATCGGCTCCAGCTATTCAACAGTGTGCCCCTCACCCTGCTCCAGCCCCCAGCTCTCACAGCCATGAGAGACTGTGCCATCCTCACTGTGCCTCATGCGGGGTGGGGGTGGGGAGCTCTGCCTTTGTTTTTTAGTAGACATTAAATCTCCCCTCCCCCAGGCAGAGGGGAGATTTCATTCCAGGAGCTGAGCTGAGCTGTTGGCTGGGTGCAAGGGTATACTGAAACCCCAGTTTCTGGAGTTTTCTAACTCCAAAACTCCCTTCCTGGGCATCTTGATCCCAGGCAGAACATATAGAGGAAATACCGCCAGGTGTCTGTGGCTGCGTTCTCACTCTCTCTGGGCACTCAGGCTCCTCGCCTGGGGAACCCTCTGTGTCCACTGACACCACGTTAGGGACCTAGCTTGGAAAAGGGCTTCTTCCAAGGCCTCTGCTCTCTCACAGATGGGGGCTTCCTTAGTGCCTCTGTGTGCATGGGTGTGGGCAGGGGGCTCCCCGCGGTGGCCGATGGGGGCGGTTGGTGGGGATGGGTGGAAGGAAGGGAGCTAAGGAGTGCAGCTCCTTCCCTGCTAGTGTCAAACTCCCTCCGAATGTCACAGCCACCCAGGACATGTCCCCATGCTGGGAGAAGCAATGTCTCAGAGAGGGCCAGGGCTTCATACTTTAAGACTGATCCCTTTTTGAATCTTTCATATTATTTTGAAAAAATAATAATTTTAACTTTGTTTTCTGGGTTTTGAGAGAAGCATCTGAAATTCTTTTAGTCTGGAAAAATGATAAATCTTTTCCAGTGGCACCAAACAGCCTCAGGTTCTTCCTGAGGGGACCTACTGTCTGCCTTATTTGTTTAAAATCTCTGCACCCCAGCTTGTGAGTAGGGTATCCCATATGTACAGTCATTAATTCTAGCATGATCCATAACTTGCTCAAGGTGCACAGCTAGCAAATTGCACAAAGAAGAGTCAAACTCAGGCAGCCACATGCCAGAGTCTAAACCTTTAACTACATTAAACTACCTCCTTCTGCCGCCTTCCTTTCACTTATTTCTACGTCATCAGACCTGGAAAATGCCCCCCTCTCCAAAATATTTTTTAATTGAAACTGCCAATGGTGAAGAACTGGTGCTTTTGGCTGGAGGCCACAGAGAACCGTATAACTTTTCCTAAATACTCCTTCCCGAAACCTAGCCTTTCCCCAAGCCAGGCCTTGGCTAACCCTCTGAGTTCTCCACAAACATCCGCTTAGGCCACTTCTGTCTTGTTGAGAAAGAATCACTCACCTACTTTCAGCATTTGCCCTCTGCATATAAATTCCTAAAAGCTTTTCTTCTGCTGTGCTGTTTCCCCAGAGATAATGGAGAACACGCTTCCTAGAAACAGAAAATTCAAGGCCCTGAACTTGTAATTTTATTTCTCGGCCTTGGTGTGTGGCAATGACATTAAGTTTTCCCCTCTGTTTCCATCCAGGAAGATGATGCATCCACGCTGTATTATTAACCCTTTTGTTTCCCCTCTGTTCACTGATGACCCCGCCACCCCGTGCAAATCCACCCCCTGAATTCCCCAAACCCAGGATCATAATCAAGACTTGGCAGCACGCCAACCTCTCAGCCCCGGCTGAGAAACAGGAGGGGCAGGAAAAAGCTGGTCGTGGGAAACACTGTGTCTTCTGCCAACTCAAACTCCAAGTGTTTCCACAGGGAGCCTGAGCTGGCTGTCAGCATCGGTACCAGCCCAGATCCAGACTAGCAAACTTCCTCCTAATGCAGGGGCTGCTGCTTCTCTTCCCCAGAAATGCAGGTGCCCTCACGGTTGGAGAGTTCTGAGAGCGAGCACCTGTCTCGCCCTGCCAGGGCCCCCTGTTCCTGCTAGTCTCAGATTCCACTTGCCAGATTCTCCCCCAACACCGCAGTCCCTGCTTTTCTCTTAAGCACTGCCTGCAATACATGTGGCTGCACTTGCAACCCAATGACTGGGGGAGATGCCCCCCAAACCCCAGGCTCCTCTTCTGCTGAGCTATGCCACATGAGACACGACCAACAGGAAGACCCCTGACTGGCCACCACTGGTGTCAGCCCCCGGAAAGTGTACGTGCAGGGGAAACTCCCAACGAGTGCACACTGGTGAGTTGAGCCAGCTTATATAAGGTCTCTCTTTGTCCCTCTAGCCTTGGGCTCAGACCACAGTGGCCCTATCCTCTACGACAGTGCTTCTCAACACTGACTGCACAAGAGGATCATCAGGAAGCTTGGAAAATTCCAATCCAGCGACAATCTCTGGGGTAGGGCCTGAGCATTGGTATTCTTTATGTTTCTTTTGATCAAGGCATAAACTATGTGAAATACGGCAAGTACAGTAATCCTGAGTACATAGCTCAAAGACTTATTTTCATACATATACATTTATTTTTACAGATATAGATATGCACACACGTGTGTGACACAGATCAAGGTACACATTTTCCGGAATTCTAGAAAGTTCCCTTCAGTGTCTTGCCAGTAATCAACCCCAATTTATTTTTCCATTGTATTATTTATGTTTTTTGCCACATGAATAAAGCTAATAGTATTTTTTTTCACACATCCCTTGGTGGACATTTGCTGTTGTTTCTTTTTAAAGCCCCTCTCCCCTGCTTTTTCACAGATGCCTGTCTGGGTGGGCTGGTTCTGAGCAGGGGTGTGTTTTGAAAGCTCCCTGTGGGGACTCAAAGATCTTAATGTGTGGGGAGCATTGAGACCCTCTGCCCTAGGACCACACCGATTGCAAACTGAGGCACAGACCAAGTTGCTCAATGGACAGAGGCTTCTCTGCGAGGCTGAGCACAGAACTTGGCGGGATCTCCACACTCCCTCTCTTTTGGACGCCACTTATGTGTGCCCCACTCTACTTTCCCGGGTGGGGAGGAAGAGAGGGGCAGGGTCCTAGGAGGGAGGCAGCCCCATGCCTATGTTATCCCACCAGCTCTGTAGGTAGAAAGACAAGGAAGTGACTCATAGAGGCTCTCTGAAAAAGAAAGTTGACCAGAAGAGCCTTGTTCCTCCCACCAACAAGCAGGTCCTGATAGAAGGCCCAACTATGTCCTTGACAAATATCTCAGAGGTCCTATTTTTGCGATTAATAGGGAAGGGAAAACTTTGAGCCTCCACACTAGGGCCAATCTGTCTGCCCTTCCTCATCACACAGGACCAGGAGTGCGTTGCTAACTTCGTGTGTTGGAGGTGCCGCCAACTTCAGCATTATTCCTGAGATGAACTGGAAGCCACGTGATTACCCTGAGGAAGGCTCCAGAACAAGGGCCTGGGATGCTTGGGCAAGAAACTCCTGAGAAAACCTCTCTGTGGCATTTAGCCAGAGCTGAGGAGGGTGGGCAAACAGTTATTCTCAGACCATTTTTAAGACACTGTAAACATTTGAGAGTGATTAATTTCAGAGTAAGTTGGGGTTGCCGATGGAACCTATAGTCTGAGTCTGGCTTGGTGGTCCTAAAGTGTGTTCTGTGGACCAGCCGCATCACGTCAGCATCACTTGGGAACACATCAGAAATGAAAATTCTCTGGCCCCACCCAGAACTACTGCTCAGACATTTGGGGAGTGAGGCCCAGCAGTCTGTTTTAGGAAGCCCTCCAGGGGGTTCTGGGGCACACTCAAGTTTGAGAACCACTGTTCATGATACAGGCTACACCCAGCCTTTAATGGGTGGTCAGTACTGATGGGCCACATTTGGTAGATTTCCCCTTGTAGACTTTTTTTTTTTTTTTAATACAAAATATCCCCATTAGTGTCCCAAGCACTTACAGAGAGACACAGAGAATTGCTCACTAGTTTTGGAGAGATTATGCTAGGATTACAAGTTCACTTAGTAAATTTCAGCCCTATTTTCTGATCCAGGCTAAAGAATGGCCATCCTGTTAGCTACTGATGAAGG